CCGGCTCACCTGGCTCTGAGCAGGCTCCGGGCCTTGTCGTCCCAGTGCTCGGCCACTGTGAGCAGCTCCTGGAGCCTGGCCATGGCTTTCTCCACGGCTGCGTACGGGGCCAGGCCCACCCCCAGGTCTATGAGGCGCCTCATATCATCTAAGGTGAGGGAGCTGGGGTCCAGGCACGCCTGCTGCACCTCCTCCAGCCAGCGGGCCTGCTCCAGGCGGACGCGCACCTCCGTGAGCTGTGGGAGGTCCACGTCAAACTCAAAGCTGACGTCCAGCAGCTCCTGCAGCGCGGCCGCACGGGGCGCCTCCTCGGAGAGCAGCTTCTGGCTCTGCTGCTGGAAATCCTCCACGCGGCTCAGGAGGTCCTGCAAGCACCGGCTGCCCATCAGCGCTGTGACTGCAGTCAGTGTCTTCCCCACTCAGACCTCCCCGCGCACGGCCAGGCGCCCGTGTCACCTCGCTGGGTTTCAGGGAGAATACGGGTAAACGAGGGAACACACACTAACTGACCGCTGAGACGAGGGACTCAAACAAGACCCTGACCAGCGCCACGAGCAGCTGGCGGCGGCTTTCCCTCCGCTACGAGAGCCCCTATGCTCTCTCTGTACACAGCCCTCCGGGCCCCTCGCAGCACCTTCAAGACAACGTCGCCACGACCCCAGGCCTGCCGGCGCCGGGCCGTTACCTTCAGCAGCGGCGCCTGGCTGAGGGCGCAGGGGAGCGCGTACAGCTGCGTCACGAACTGCCGGAGCTCGCTCACCGTCAGCTGGTTCGGGGACTTTCCGCCCCCAGATCGGAATCTGTGGAGACACGGGCCGGGAAGCCACGTGAGGACACCCCGCGCCCCCTCCCGGATCCACCACCGCTCCCCCCACGGCCAGCGGTCCCAGGCACACACCTGGTCTGCCGTTTCCCGTTGAGCAGCTGCTGGGCCACAGAGGCGCACTTCTCCGCGTCCTGCGTGACCAGGCGCAGGTGGCGCAGGAGGTCGTTGTCCGGGAACTTCTTCATCTCTGACTCTTCGATCAGAGCCTTCAGGCTGGCGAGGCCTAGGAACGGAGGGAAGGCGCCGCCTGTGGCCATCGCGTCTCAGCCCAGACGGATGTGCAGAGGGGAGCCCGCCGGCAACAGCTCTGCTCTGAGCACCCGCGATGCTTCGCAGCCCTGCCCGGTGACACTCGGCGTGGGGTGTTCCCAACAAGCGCCCAGAGGTGCCCTTCAGCACGGGACCCTTTAGAGCGGAAACGCTCACAGGGAAAGCAGCTGGCTTATCAAAGCAAAGTCAGTGCCAACCCTGACGGAGCCTCTGCAGCGGGCAGGTAGCGTGTGCTCACAGGCAGGGCCCAGGGCCGGCCCTGAACACCAAGGCGCAGCCCGTGCAGCTCAGCCAGGGAAGCCCGGTGACACTGAGGCAGGAGGCTGCTGAGAGACCAGGACCTGACCACCAGCCCTTCAGAGGTGCCGCCTTTATCGGGACGTCCTAAGGTTCCGTGTAAAACGTGAAATACTTTTATTTCTGAGACGAAGAGGTGAAGGTCACTCTGCTCCCTGCCACATGGCCGGCATGAAGCACCATCATGCACGGCCCCCCATCAGGGCCCCTCTGGGATGCGGGGGGTCTCCCCGTCCCTCGGTTTGAACCTCCCGCTCGTGCAGGGTGAGCCGGTGGCAGGACGGTCGCGGCTGTGCCCCCGACGTGGCTCTGCCACAGCCCACGCGCCGGCCGCGGTCTGGACACGTACTCCTCTTCTTGCTCAGCTTCGCCTCCAGGGCTTCGCTCACGGCCACGGCCCACTCGTTGTAGGACTCGGCTCGTAGCTGCAGCGCGTTCATCATGGGGTAGAGGTCGTCCAGGGTGTATCTGTACCTGCAGCCGGACACGGGGGTTTGGAGAGTCAGGTGTTTCACACACATGTTTCAGCCCTGGCCCAGGGATGTCACCGAGCTTTTATTAGATTCTGTGTTTTCCACAGAAAAAAGCCATCTTCTTAAAGCAATTTTTTTAAAAAACCTACTCACCGCAGCTTGTACTTGCCAGGAGGACAGGAGCACAGCTCGGGCACGTGGTGCAGGCACACCAGCAGGCCGGGCTTGCAGGCACAGGACACGGCCGACATGAAGCACGTCGTCTTGCACTTGATGCACTGACGCTCGTCGTCCGGCAACAGCTCAAAGTCCATCCTTTCCGAATCGATGACTCCCTGGAATAAAGTGAGCGTGGGGGTCTCCGCGGGACAGTGGGACCCACCAGCCCCGAGCCGAGCACGCAGTGGCTGCCGGACCACCACGCGCACAGATCCCACCGTGGGGAATGCCAGGCGGCAAGGACCACCACGGCGGCGGCGGCCGCCTCACTCGTCTGGGGAGGACCCGTTCGCTGCTGGACGTTTTGATGTGAGAAAACAGTGATGAGCAGGATGACAACCCTCGAGAGCAGCTGCTTATTCTACCCCAAGGGGCAGAGGGCAGAGCCAAGGAAACGCGTGCTTTCAGCTTCAGGGGAAGACGCTGGGGAGCCCAGAGGCCCAGCACGAGGACAGGGAGGAGGCGGGCGAGCAGGACCGGCCGAGAGGGGCGATGCCGAGAGCCCATCCCCCCAAAAGTTATCTGAAGGGATCCCGCTCCCTGAAAAGGACGAGTCACAACAGAGCATCTGCGAACGGAAAAGGTGTCGAGAAAAACGAAGGCCGAAGCCGGTGAACTTCACCTGCAGATGCACCCGTGACGGCCAGACCCAGGACGCTCGTCGGTGACAGAGCGAACCTTCACCTCCCTCCTCCTCATCTGGGCCTGGACCCAAACCCAACCCGAGTGAAGTCAGCTCATGGACCATCAGGCTCCTCTATTTCACTCTTATTCTGTTTTTGTGGGTTTTTAAAACCACTAGTATTTTAGAGAGAGAGGAAGGGAGAGAGACAGACATCTGTTGTTCCACTCACCCATGTCCACTGGAAACTAGACTGACGTGACCTTCATAAACGGTATTAAAGTGCCTAAGAACTTGGCTAAAACAGCACAACGCTGGGGGCGGGGGGGGGGGTTCCAGAAGCCTCACCAGTTTGCGGACGGTCTCTCGGAGAGCTCGCTCGTCCTCGATCATGATGGCCATATCCTTCTGGACGGTGGAAGCCACGACCACGTCCAGCACGCCGGCCTTGGCGGCCATGCGGCAGATCATCTCGTCATGGGAGAACACGCAGTAGCGGTGCAGCAGGCGGTAGTGCTCCACGCACTGGCGGCCCAGGGGCAGCTGGGAGACAGGAAAGCACATGAGCCGCCTTCCTGCTGCCCAGGACGCCGGCCTCGCTACACAATCCCCAAGGTCACCTTCTGGGTCCTGCCGACCACATATCGGCTCTAGGAGCCTTGGGCCTCTTGATATCCTTGCATCCCCAAGACCTGGCATGAGTCGCCTTCATTAAAAAGTCACTTACAGAGCCCCAGTGTGTGAACAATGCATCACTGCTCACAAGGTAAAACCTAGTGGGAACCATGGATTTACACATTTCCTGGGCAGCTGTGCCGAGCGGGGCGTGGCTAACGTCCTTCAGGGACAGAAATGCTCCAAACGACACCACACAGTCCCAGCTGCAGGAGCCTCGTCACTCAGAAGCCACGAGCAGCGTCGTCATCATTAGAGCTAACGTCACACGTACGTCAGACACCTCTTCTTGGTGAGTGAGCAGCACGAACACGGACATAAAGCCCTGCTTCACAAGTAACCGAGACCAAAGGCACCCCCACAACTGCTGCCGGGACCCTGAGCGAGTGCTCAGCAAGGACCCGTCCGAAGGCTGGACTGTCATCGGTTTGCAATGAGATACTGAGCTGCCGTCAAAATGTAAATCAAGAGGAAACAACTGTCCGCTGGACCGAGCAGAGGGCTCAGTACAGGCCGGACGGGCAAGCCAAGTACAACGTGTGCGAGCGCCTGGTCTCGCGGGCGGTCAGCTCCCGGCAGACCAGCCTCCCGAGCGGCAACAGGTTAAGCAAGCAACTGCCCGCAGAGCGTTCTGCACGCCCAGCTGCAGCAGAGGCTGCGGCGTCGCCCTACCCAGTCCACCGTGCAGAAGTTGACGGCTTCGGCGAAGTTGAAGCCTTGGTTGAAGCCGCTGTGGTAGGCCCTCGGGAACGTGATCACGAACTCCCCGGCACACTGGTTCGTCCGGTAAACCTGCGGGACACACGGGGGTTCAGTGACGTGCTCACGGAAGACCATCTGGACTGGACCGGACTAGACTCCTCGAAGGGTGGCTTTCCACTAATCAAAAGGGAGCCAGAAGAAACAGCCCACACCACTGCGGTGGGACACAGGACAGAGCAGGGCCCAATCACAGGGCTGTGGGGGATCTGAAAGGAATCATGGCTACATCCCGGGTCAGGACACCGCTTTCTAATGCAGCCACGGTGAAGAGTGTCCTATGTCATTAAACCAGAACAGGCTGCTGGTTCGATTCCCGGTCAGGGCACACGCCCGGGTTGTGGGCTCAATCCCCCAGAGGGGGCGTGCAGGAGGCAGCCGATCAATGATTCTCTCTCATCATTGATGTTTCTCTCTCTCTCTCTCTCTCTAATCAATAAAAAAGAACCTATTTTCTAAAATAAGCTCAGCCTGGTCCGGCCGGCGTGGCTCAGCTGGTCGTGGTGCTGCCGGTGGACTGTGCTCCCCCACAGGCACTCATCTCCTAACTCTAGGGTTCCCAGGAGACATGCACCCAGGGGTGCAGTGAGCAGCAGCAGCTCATCCGACTCGCCCCTTGAGCCTGACTTCAATGCCCCCTTTCCAGCCAGCCAAGCCCGCCACGCCCTCTCTTCCTCTCGCCCAGTGATGGCGAACCTGACACACGTGTCGGAGGCGACACGCGAACTCATTTTTGTGGTTGATTTTTCTTTGTTAAGTGGCATTTAAATATATAAAACAATATCAAAAATGTAGGTCTTTGTTTTACTATGGTTGCAAATACCAAAAAATTTCTATATGTGACACGGCACCAGAGTTAAGTTAGGATTTTTCAAAATGCTGACACGCGGAGCTCAACAGGTTCGCCATCACTGCTCTAGCCTGAGCCCTCCCTTGTTACGCGTCCCCAGCTGAATAAACGTGCTCTTAAAACAATAGATCAACAGGTAGATAGATAAATTAATAAATTAATAAAGCTTAATGAGGGGTGGGGGGTTAACGTAACCATCATCTACCAAACACGTTATTTTCAGTTCGTCGTTGAAAATTAAGGTCCTATAGGTTCAATTAGCCATTTTTAGAGCAGGGACAGTGTGGATTCTGACGTTAGAGTTCAGTTCTGACTGTAACAGGATCTAGCCTTTTCCCCAGGGATTTATGCTGACAGGTGACGTGGACTATTTAAGGTTTTGCCTCGTTGCAGGGAGGAAGGAGGTATAAATGGAAGGAGAGTTAAATGGTGAAGCTGCGTGACTGTGAATGGATGGACACAGAGAAAGCCTCTTACGGCCGAGGGTCCCCCATGCCGTACCAAACCCACCCAACAGCATCGCCGGCCAGGCACCCCCAGCCCCCGCGGACCCAGCGCCCCGGGTGTGAAGCAAGAGGGGGGCTGAGACGTACGGGCACTTCATGCGTCATCAGGGTGTTGGGGTTCATGATGGTCACCAGCTGGTGCAGCAGGTCCGGCTGGGACACGAAGAGCTCGGGCGCCAGCCTCTTCATGACGCTCTCCAGCTGTTCGGCCGCGTATCCGGGGACGCCGTACCAGGTTTTGGGCTCACCCCTGGGAACAGATTAGAAAAACCAATCCATCTCAAAAAACATGCAACCACGACCTTTCAGTCGCTTCTTCAAATCACACACATTCACAGAATCAACCTGCAACGTCAACACAGGACGGCCAGGCAGTCGCCACAGGACACGCACCCCGGGGTCACCTGGGGTCACCTGGGGTCACCTGGGGACGGAAATGTGACCGTCCCTGCGGGTGCGTTTTCCCTCCAGGCACGGAGGCTGGACACGGGCTTTCCCCTGAGATCCCTGTCCTCCCCACTCTGTCTGGCCCTTTAGAAAGGCAGGTATCTAGAACCCCTGGGAATATCAGGTGTCACGTAGTGTAGGGTATCGGGTTGCCACAATTTCCTAGGCTGACAAGGAAGGACAGCTCTCCATCTCCCTTTACCTTGTCCGTTCTGCAGGGAGCAAACCCTACTAGGGCAATTAGCATCCTCAAGAGCTTACTCTTCAAAGCACTTTACACCGTCAAACACTGACCCTAGGCATCCCTGTGAGGAATGGTAGATGCAACCCTCACGTTACAGCCCCGAGCCCTGCCTGGGCCCTAGGGAAGCAGGACAGACAGGCTACCACTATGTGACTAGCCCTCTCTGGCTACATCCTTCGCTCCTGGTGGTGGGATTTACTGAGTGACAGATCTCCAAATCTGAGGAAAGGGAAATGCGGAGGGGAGGACAGATGTGGGAAACGGCTCTGGATGAAGAGCTGAGAAGCGGCCCCAGCCTTCACCCTCCTGGGGGGCGGGGGGCCCACTGGATTCTGTGGCGAGGCCAGAACCAGCACCACCAACAGCAGCGGGACGTCCCAGGACCTGGAGGGCACCGCGTGCCTACCCTCCACTCGCCACACGCCACACGCCCCCAAAGGTAGAGGGGCTTCCACAGGGACCCCGAGGCTCCGCTCAGCTCTCCGTGAGGAAAGCCTTTGACAACTGCCCGCCCCTCAAACACGTCAGACTTGAAGGTAGCGGGTGCGCGATCTCGGGGGCTCCTGGGCTCCCTGGAGCCGCCTCCTCAACGTGTTAGGACGCCTGTTCCCACAGCAGGGAAAATCTTAAGGAGAAACAACACAGGTCATCACTCTTCACGCACAGTTAAGAGACGGGAGGATTCAGCGGCTGGAGCGCTGCCCGGGGGCCTGGCGCGCTCACCAGTGCAGGTAGTTGATGGAGTAGCTCCAGTGGTCCTCGATGTGCCAGCAGAAGGAGGAGAAGCACATGCCCACGTACAGCCAGGGCAGCTTCATGCCGCAGATGTCGGCCGTGATGTGGGCCAGGACCGACTGCTCCATCACCGGCATGTTGTTCAAGTTCCAGCCGCTGTCCAGGTATTCCTGCAGGCAGCGATCAAAAGCACGAGGCTCAGCTACAGCAGCCGCACATTTTCAACTGCGCTCGTTTAAAACGACGGTGAACACAGTCTCCTTCGAAATAAAAACGCTGGGTGGGAGGGAGAAGCCCCTCTGCTGACCCTCGGGCGCCACAGGCGGCTCTGGCACGTCACACAAACGACGCCCACAGCACAGGCCGGGGTCCCACCCGCGCTCCTAATGTGACTGCGGGAGAGTACGGACAACACGAGTGCTTTTGCATAAAGTTAAAAAAAAACGGCACATGACCCTACGGCGCTGCAGTCAGGACAGTGTGTGGGGGGAGGGGTCGTCTGAGACGGGAGGCGGGGAGCAGAGGGCAGGAGCAGCTGCGGGGAGAACGGGGTGACGTCCAGGATCCTCCTGTGCTGCCAGACGGAGGATTCAACTGGTAAAAACTCATCAAGTGCACATGTAGTTGCGTACTTTTCCGTGCAAATATTAGATTTCAAGGAAGTTGACCCCCAAACAGATCTGACTTCTTACTAGGATAGAACAGAAACCATGCTAGGAGCTCGCTAGTGGGGAAAATAATGGACTCAAACTTTAAAATTCAAAGACAAGTAGGTCTGGCCCCAACCCCTCAGATTTCCTTCAGAAAGAGAAGCCCAGGGTGGAGCACCTGAAGGCCAAGGGAGCAAAGTCACTGTCCCAGGTCGTCCCCGGGCAGTGGCACAGAGGGGACCAGGATTCCTTGTGGGTTCTTCCTATTTTTCTTGAAAACATTGAAAGCCTGGTACTTAAGGTTTTCCTGAAAGTAGTCACCAGTCGCTTCCAGCCAACCAATCGGAAATGGAACCAGCAGCCCGAGTCCCAAGCGGCACCTATTGCAGTGAGGCGGCCCCTGGCCCAGGAAGCCGCCCACAGGGCAGGCACACGCTCACCAGCAGGTCCTCGAAAGGCAGGTGCTCCCCCCGGCACCCACCTCCTCCTCAGGGGAGAGTTTGACCTTCCCGTCGCGGACAGGGAAGCCGCTGCCAAACTCCTTGGAGGCAATATCGGCTCCGTACTCGACGGTGACGTCTTCTTCAATCGTGCTGACCAGCCGCCAAAATTCCTTCTCAACCAGTTCAGTGGGAACCATCTGGAGACAAAACCATAATAAGCAGGAGAAGAAAGGCATTTCTGCAGACGCGCACGGCCGGCCGCCAACCTGACCAGATGCTCAGTGACAGGGGCCCAGGACCCAGTAAGGGACATGCCTCTCTCCGCTCCACCTTGGAGTCCGGACAGTCCTGCTATTTCGTTATTAAAGGAGTAACGATGGTTAAGCATTCATGTTTCTCGCCCTGGGTGGTGAGGCTCAGTGGACAGAGCGTAGTCCTGCAACTGAAGGATCCCGGGTTCGACTCCGGTCAAGGGCACATGCCTGGGTTGCAGGCTGGATCCCCAGTGGGGGGCGTGCAGGAGGCAGCCGATCAATGTTTCTCTCTCCCTCATTAGTTTCTCTCTCTCTCTCGCTCCCTCTCCCTTCCTCTCTGAAATCAATAAAAATGTATTTAATTTTAATGCCACTAAACAAATTACAGGTGTCCCTGGGCAAGACCACGGCGACCAGAGGTAAGTGCCATCTCAAATTCGCCTTCAGACCCACCTTTTCAGAAAGTTATTCAAACCCTCCGCCGAAGCAGTAACTATGTACGTACGTGGACTGGCATGCTGAAGTAGTCAGACTTGAACGCGTCTGCCATTTCCCCAAAGGTTCGGAGGGTGTAGTCTCTGGCCGCTTGCTCAAAGCCAAAAGCTTCTTGTGGCTTACTACACTCCTGCCCAAAAATAATAACAATTTATACATACACATATATGTATATACACATGCACACACACCCCGAAAAGCAGATTACTAAAGCTGCTTAAGTAATATAATTCCACTCGTTTAAAACAGAAAGAAGTCTGGGTGAATATACATCCAAACGTTAGCCGTGGTGACCTACAGATTATAGAATCACTTTGTTAAAGTCGTGCAGTGTTTGAGAACTTCTGCCAAGAGCGCACAGTGTCTTATTCAGTGGAAACGCTCCCCGTGTAGTGATTAACCTTCTCCTGCTTCCTGCTCCGGCTCAGCTGTGAGAAGGCGCCTCCCTGTGCAGAGGCAGCCCAGTTCCTCTAGGACGTTATCCCCAAAGGCCACGTTGGACCCAGAGGCAGCGGACAGCCTGGCACGTCCGCCCCGCCCGCTGTTCCTCCTCACCTGGGCCACGCACTTAGGACACCGCCAGTCTCCCTTGGGCACGTCGTGCAGGGGCGGGACCAGGCAGAAGGTGTGGTAGCTGTCGTCACACCCGTCACACAGGAGCAGCCGGTCCTCATCGCTGCCGCTGCCACACAGGAGGCAGACGTACAGGTCCACCTGCAGCCAGGACGGGGCACAGGCACGGGAGTCCATCGGACTTCGTGAGATTCTGAGAACTCACTGGTCACAGGTATGACCCAGCCTCTCCCTGCTACGAACGCGCCCGCGCCCCCGCCCCCGCCAGGGCCCGGTGCACACGCAGGCTGCCCAGCACCTGCTCCCCACGCCTCCGTTTCCCTTCTGAGCTGGAATCAATCACCTGCTCGATTTTTTAAAAAATGTATCTGAGTTCATTTCAGAGAGAGGAAGGGAGAGGAAGAGATAGAAATGTCAACGATGAGAGAGAATCATGGATCGCTGCCTCCTGCACGCCCCCCACTGGGGATCCAGCCCACAACCCGGGCCTGTGCCCTGACTGGGAATCCAACCCTGACCTCCTGGCTCATACCAGGTAGGTCGACGCTCACCATTGAGCCACACCGGCCGGGCAACACCCGCCTGGTTTGATCTTGGAGGAGCTCGTGAGGCCTGAGCAACTCTGCGTCACCAGCTCCCCGGCTCAGTGCTCATACCCGTGCGTCTCCTCATTTACAAGCTCAAACGCTACACTGACCAGAGAAGGTCTTTCCAGTCTCAGACCCCGAGCGAGCGAGCAGGCTAAGCACGAAGGACACACTTGGGTGAGTGCTAACGATGTCAACTCACAGCACTGGTGGTTTTCTTAGGCCGACTCTTGGGTTTCTCCCTCTCACTTTCTAGAAGGTGCTCTTTCTTCTCGACGGGTTCTTGCTTGATGCTGCTCTTCACGTCTTTCTCTGCAAGAAGTCGTCCGCGTGAGCTCTGTCTGTCTGCGCTCCGCCTCCTCGGCCCCCCACCCGCCCCAACGCACACCGGACGCGAGCTGGCCTCCCGTTTCTTCCCGCCCAGCGCACTGTGTTCAGCTCATGAGGATAAAATGCAAACTCCCACCCCATTCCTATCCACGCTGTGGGTACAGATGCTGCTCAGGTTTTAACCGTTTGAAACAACATGTGCTGAGGGTGAGGGAGGCAGGAGAGGGCGAAGGGGGAAAATGGAAACGGGGGAGGCTGGGCTGGTGAGTGGGGTGGAGACACAATACCAGACGCAGACGATGATCGGGGACGTGTACCTGAGCCCGATGTAACTTTACGAACCAGTGTCACCCCAATAACCAGTAAAAAAGGGAAAGCACCCCGACGACACACACTGTGTCGAGCAGCCCTCGTGGCCCTGCCTGCGGGAGCCTGGCGACCTGCCCGTGGGCCTCCTGCAACTGGACCAGCCTCCACGACCACCTGCCTCGCCTCCACTGCCTGTCCCAGGAATTGTGGCGAAAACACAGCTGCGTGAACTGCCCTGTGGGGGGCACCGTGCTACATGCTTTCCACAAACTATAACCCTTTGCAACAAATCCATTCCAAAGAAAAGAAAACATATTAAAGGCCGTCAAGGACTCTTTCTACAGTCATAAACTAGTCAGCGGCCGAGCCGGGGCTTGGTCTGTGTTTTTAAAAATCACTTCATTACACGCACTGCCTCCTCTCACTCGCCCATCACCAGGATCCAGGTCTGTGACTGCCTGTCCAGGACACAGGGCTCCACCTGTGAGTCCCAAGCCTACACCTCAGAGCGTGGCATCCGGCAAGGCCAGGCCAACGACTTTCCACCAGAATTCAGACTCAGACAGCAGGTCTGCTGCCCAGTGGAAACACACCCGTCGGACATCAGCCCAGGCACAAACCACTGCTCCTCCACAGCTGCGGAGCCGCGTTTCAGAGCAGCAGCTACGCGCCCAGGTGCCTCGTCTGCCTGCTACCTGGCACGTCACGGGGAGAAGGACCTGAGCCCAGCAATGACTAGGGCACAGCTGCCACCGTGTTTTCTTCATAACAAACAAAACCTGGTTTTTACTTGCTTCCTCTGTACTATCCCTATTCACGGGTCAGCTTTCTTACCGTTTTCGTATTTCGGAGTTGGACAACCCATTCGACGCCTCAGATTGTGAGTTCTGGCTTCTGCTGTCTCTTCCGGTTCTATTTTAATATTCATGGCCTTGAAAAACAGTTGTCACACACATAAATATGTCCTTTAAAAACAAGTAACCCTAAACTCCACCTGGAGTCCCAAAGTGGCTACCATCCCATAAACTGTTCATCACCATGGCAGCCAGCGTCCCTCTCCGCCCTGGAGATGACGATGGCTGAGGAAATGGGTGAGGCAGCGGGGCCTCCTCCTGGGTCCTCACACTCCTGGCAGTCGGGGCTCCCTCCCCAAAGCCGCCATCAGTGACTGCCAGGCTCCATGCTCCTTTCTCGGAAACACGAGAACAGCTTCACTGTTACCTGATGTCCCCATTTTTGTAAAGGCCCCGGTCAGACTGGCTCCGCGGTCAGAGCCCGGCCTGCGGACGGAGGGTCCCGGCTTGATTCCCGGCCCAGGGCACAAACCTCAGCCGCAAGTCTCTCAGCCCCATCGGGTGCACGTGGGAGGCAACCAGTCATTGTCTCTAAGAAAAAACCTCCCCAGGTAGGACCATCACAAGTTCTTTCCAGCTTCCCCTCCCCTCGCTCCTCCCAGGGCCCTCGTGTGGACGCCACCTGCCCAGCACCGTTAACAAGCAGCCGCCCGTCCAGGCAGCATCAACCAGAGCAGGTTCAGGGATCCCTCGCCCTCCGGCAGCACAGTCCCCCCAATACAGAAGCGAGAGCACCGCCGGCACCTCTGCAAGACTAAGGCGGCTGGACTGCGAGCCTGTGTGGGGCAGACGGAAGCCGGTCAGACGGACGCGCACCGGCCCTCACCTCTGCCCGCATGCGCTTCGCTCGCCGGGCCGGGGGGCAGGTCTCCGCGGGCTGCACAGACTGCCTCTGGGGAATGTCGTGGGGCTTGTACTCCTTGTCCTTCGTGTCTGTGGCCAGGTTTGGCTTCTGCAGACACTAGAATGAAACACAAGAATCGCCCCCTTTTTAAATAGCAGACAATTTCACTGGAATTTTAAAGGTCTATTTAGCAATTACTTATTACATACATAACAGGCCTGCCATTTTTTAAAATCCAAATAAACACAAAGTCCACACTGGCCAGCCTCATACACACAGACACACACACACAGACACAAAACAAAGTCTTACAAGCAGCGTCTGCCACACATAATCGAGGCCTTTTCATTCCCGTGGAGACAACGTGCGGATCATCAGTGAAATACGACAGAGTCGGGCCCCCCGATACTCACCCTCAAACTGTCTCCAGACAAGAACAGGTTGTAGGGGTGGAGGATTCGCTCGTAATGCCCTCTGATGTGGGAGCCCACGGCTTTGCCAGGAGCAAACCCCATCTTGGTGGCAATTTTGGTCCATTTTCTATCCTTGCAAACAACTGCAAATCCACCTTCTTCTGCAACTAACTGTTCAATGAAACAGCAAGAGAAATCAGAACACCCCCTTCTAATTCCCTCGTGCCGACGTGTGACGCCAAAGCACAATGCTCTGGGCCGTGGGGATCTTCTAAAGACACGCTTCCTGAGCCAAAAGGAAACACACACGACTTCCTTAAAGGATCCTTCCCAAATCCCAACCTAAGCATATGCCCTGACGGAACCCGACTCGCAAGCTTTGGGTGTAGGGACGATGCTCCAACCAACCGAGCCACCGGCCAGGGCTACACTGTTATTTTTAAGCCAGAAAATTAAAACCTCGCTTTTGACAGCATATTCCATAATCGCTCTGCACCCCGAAAGCCACTTCCCCAGAGCAGCGAAGACTTTCTGGGGTGAAGCACTGGATTCACAACGAAATCTCTCTCTAAAGAAGGTCCGACTCAGGGACCCTTTAAATCTCCATAAGCTACGAAGCAGGGAGGAAGGCAGGGGTTTTGTAGGAAGAACGCAGACTTCAGACTGGAACCTTAAGTTAAGGTATTAAAGGACTCGGACTTTTTAGCTCCGTCAATGTTCTCTGAGCTCAGTTGTCCTTCCTATTTAATAAAAGCCTAACGTGCAAATGTCCCCTCGGGCGGGAGTTCAACCGCTCGCTATGACATGCGCTGACCCCTGTGGATTGAAGGGTCCCGGGTTCGATTCCGGTCAGGGCACACGCCGGGGGTACGGGCTCAATCCCCAGTGGGGGCCGTGCAGGAGGCAGCCAACTGACAATTCTCTCATCACTGATGTTTCTCTCTCCCCCCCTCTCCCTTCCTCTCTGAAACCAATAAAAATATATTTAAAAAAACAAAAAACAAAAAAACCCACGGGTGGCAGCAAAATATTTCACAAGGTAAGGCTTTAAAGATCTGCCAAGTAAGAGCCCAATCCACTCGCTGAATGAAGAATTTCATGGGACACATTTTAACCATAAGTTTGCGCCTCAAGGCAAAGACCCCGTCCTCCTGTCAGAACGAGGACTCCATGGGGGACGCTCGTCCGCCTTTACCTTGTTGAGCTGAAACAAGTCCAGGATCTTCCTCTCCACGTGCGGGATCTTCAGAGTACTTCCCTGCAGCTCCCAGTACTTGGCGATCTGGTCCAGGAAATTCAGTTTCACACGGGTTTGAGCCTAAACGACAAAGAATTGTGTTTCAATCTTATGTTAAGGTCTTTTCATTCTTACAATATTTAAGTGCAAAAACACTTTTGAATTCAATAGGGAAACTGTCAAAAAGATACAAAATAAAACTGGTTAAATGATTAAATATTAACTCAACAAAAATTTAATTCCACTCCTACCGTGTGCCCGCAAAAGGGAAGCACCCCGAAAGGCCGCCCCCAGCACCCGCAGGCTCTGAAAGCGCTTCCTGCCAGGGCACGGGACGCAGTGCTGTTAGGACAAGTAAGCTTCCACACGCTCCCTCCATCCTTTCACCACGCAGGCACTTAAAGACCTTCCCAACACCTTCCCAGACCCCGGGGCTCTGCCTATCTCCTGCCGTCCGAGTTCAACTCAAAAATGCACACCGAGTACCACCACCACCAGGACCCACAGAATCCAGTGCACACCCGTTCCCATGAAGTGAAGAACATTTGCTTAGTAGAGAAAAACAAAATATGGTTTGGTTCAAAACAAAAACCAGGTCAGCAAACCATGACGGTGAACACCCCGCCTCCTCCGTTCCCACCCCAAGCCCTGCGCGCCCGGCAGTGAGGGTCCCAGCAGACGGCGCTGAGACACACTGCTCCTCTCTAGAGCCCCCTGCTCACTCCTCGGGAAACAATGTGCTAGCAAACTGGGGTGAGATATGCATTTGGAAGGAAGCCAGAGCTGAAGGTCTCTCCCTTTAGATGGTTCTCAAAGGACATTCCTTCAAAACCCAAATTCGAGGGGTTGCCACCAAATGTGGATTCAATGAAAGAATCGGCCAGCCAGGGACAAAAATCGGTGTTTTCAATGAAAATGGATTTGCTGTAAAGGCCTCGTTGCCACTTTCTTGACCATGATTTTCGGTGATTTGGCCATACTTCAGTTTCACTAAAACCACTAGCCCTGTGGGGGGGCCTCTGGCAGGGGCTCCCTCCTCCCCCCAGGACCCAGGACCCAGCACAGCAGTGAAGACAGCACCTCCAACTCGTTCAGCCTCTGGATCCGGGGCGTGAAGTGGAGCTTGTCGACATCACATGCAAACGGTGGCTGCCAATCCTGGGGACGAAGCAAAGGCTTTTGTTACAAGAATTTATAATTCTGGCATTTAAAAATCGTTTTCAATTAAAACCCTGGGCCCGAGCGTTTCAACGGATACTTCTAGGTTCTTTCCTTTCCTTTCCAATCGCATTCGCTATAAACAAGACACCCCTGCCCGGAGGGAAGCTTGCTTGAGCCTCACTCAATGGTCCAGGTCTCACAGGCCGCAGGTGGAGGGGGATCAACCTGGTCACAGCAGCCTGGACTCAAGAACGGAGCTTCAGCCCTGACCGGTGTGGCTCAGTGGATAGAGCGTCGGCCTGCGGACTCAAGGGTCCCGGGTTCGATTCCGGTCAAGAGCATGTACCTTGGTTGTGGGCACATCCCCTACAGTAGGGGGTATGCAGGAGGCAGCTGATCAATGTTTCTCTCTCATCGATGTTTCTAACTCCCTCTCCCTCTCCCTTCCCCTCTGTAAAAAAATCAATAAAATATATTTTTAAAAAAAGAAAGAAAAGAATGGGGCTTCATTTGGCTCTACAGACAGACACGTTACCGTCAGTGGGACAACGGCTTCATCAAACAGCGCTACTGGTGTTCAAGAGATGCCACTGGGCAAGTAAAGATTCTGATTAGGACAGTTAATTTTTTTTTTTTTTACTTTATTGATTTTAGAGAGAAAGGGAGAGACATCGATTTGTTGTTCCATTTATTCATGCATTCATTGGTTGATTCTTTTTTTAAATTTTTTTTTATTGATATCAGCGAGGGAAAGATAGAAACATCAATGATGAGAGAGATTCATTGATTGGCTGCCTCCTGCACACCCCTACTGGGGATGTGCCCGCAACCCGGGCATGTGCCCTTGACCGGAATCGAACCCAGGACCCTCGAGTCCACAGGCCAACACTCTATCCACTGAGCCAAACCGGCCAGGGCCACTGGTTGATTCTTGTATGTGCCCTGTCTGGGGATGGAACTCACAACCTTGGGGTATCAGGAGGATGCTCTAACCAACTGGGCTGCCCAGCCAGGGCCATAGGAAGTTACATTTAAACGTTGCTTTAGAGCTAAAGGTGAAAACCAGAAAATCAGAAGCTGACTGCTAAAAGGTTGCCAATCAAGACAACTTAGTGACAAAACTTTGTAAACAAAGAGAAACTGTTTAGTGAAAACACAGCGACTCCTTACTTAGATGGTAACTGTAGCAACTGAGGTTCACACTGTAGCCTGGTTTCCCCTCATTAAGACGATACAGAAACTCCCACAGCTTTAATGTTTAAATGCACAGACAACAGGAAAGACAGATGTCCCTTTAGAAAATACTCAGCTGCTCACAGACCCAGTCTCACCACGAGAAAAACATCAAATAAATTCCTACAAAACACCCAGTCGGTCAGTACCCTCAAAACAAGGAAGAGCCTGAGAAACCGTCACCGCCAGGAAGAGCCTGAAGAGCCGCGGCAGCTCCATGAACAGGGCAGCCGGACGGGTCCTGCCCCCGGAGGGGCCGCGGGGACAACGGAGGAAATCTGAGTGCGAGGGGGCGAGGTTAATAACCACGCGGCTCACGAAGTGAATAAAACTAATGAAATGACAGAAGGAGCCTAAGGGGCCGGCTTCAACTTTCCAGCTGCTCCTGGCCACACAGAATTTTATTTTTCTCTTCATGGAGCAACAGATGGGTAACCAGCCAAAGCCTTTACCAAACCGGCCCCGGCTCCACCACGGCCTCTTCCAGGGAAGAGCGAGCGCGGCATCTTTCCTACAGGCAAGCCTCTGCCTAAGCAACTTTCCCTTTTTACTAATACAACCGTTCTCAAAGTTTGGGCCTCAGGACACCCCCCTCCCTTTTAAAAATATATTTTTTACTGATTTCAGAGGAGGGAGAGACAGAAACGTCTATAATGAGAAAGAATCACCGATAGGTTGCCTCCTGCAGCCCCGCCCCACCCCACCAGGGATCGAGCGCCCAACACAGGCATGCACACTGGACCAGCATCACACCCGGGACCCTCAGTCCGCAGGCCGACGCTCTATCCACTGAGCCACACCAGCCAGGGCAGGACCCTTTTTAAACTTAAAAGCTGAGGACTTCAAAGAGCCTGAATTTGTATGAGAAACAGCTATTCATCTTTATCCCATCAGAAATGAAGACATTTTAAAAATTCATTTATTAAGCAAAAAACGGTGGCATTGTTTTATTTCGCACACATTTTCCAATTCTTTGGGTCTGGCTTCATAGAAGTAAGCCGGGTTTTCCCATCTCCCACCGTCCGTCAGCTGCAGCGTCAGCTGTCTTGGTTCAAGCACAGAAAGGAAAGGTGGCCCCTGGCATCTCGCTGACAAGACGAGGTTCCCCGGGACCTGCCAAAAGGTCCTCCCAGGTCCTCAGCCCGAACCCGGAAATCAGCTGCCCACAGAGAACCCCTAAGGACTCCCCGTCCATCTGTCCTTCCAGCAAACTGTCTGCCCAGGTTTTAAAAGCAGCCCTTCGTGTGCTGTCTCCTTTCACCAATCAGTCCATTCCTGACCTGTTTGTGAAGGGCCAACACCTTTACACACCACTTCTTACAAACCAGCGTTCCCTAAAGTCCTACCACCGAAATGATCCCGAAAATACCAACACAATCATCTGCAAACACGCGTGGCATTAAAATAACAAGGGCCGAAGGATCAGAACACCTGTGAAAACGGTGACTACAGATAGAACAGGCCTGGCAAAAGTATCCGTCCAGTTTCACAGAACGACTTAATGTTTTAATTTCTAAATATTAGAGATCTGGAAGGCGCCCTGCCTGGGCAGCCCAGTTGGCTGGGCTTTCGCATGACCAGAAGAGCTTCTCAGAACTCAAACGCCTGGGCTCCACAGTGGTCAGTGAAACTGATGAGCCAGGAGTTCCCACACAAATGAGCCAGCCGACCAATGAACAGACATGCAATGTGTAAGCTCAGACACACTGATAAGCTAAACGAATGAAGGCGTATTTAAAATTTTATAGGCAGCCCTAGCTGGTTTGGCTCAGTGGATAGAGCGTCGGCCTGTGGACTGAAGGGTCCCAGGTTCGATTCTGGTCAAGGGCACAGGCCCAGGTTGCGGGCTCGATCCCCGGTGGGGGACGTCCGAGAGGCAGCCGATCCATGATTCTCTCTCATCGTTGATGTTTCTATTTCTCTCTCCCTCTCCCTTTTTCTCTGAAATCAATACAAATATATATATTTTTAAAAATTATAGACAAATATAATAGACAAAAGACATGGTACTTTGAGCAAAACAAAACTCATGGACATGGACAACAGTGTGGGAATGGCGGGGGGAAGAGGGAGGTAGGAGAGGGTATAGGGGAATAAATGGTGATGGGGAAAAATTGAAATCTAGGAAAAAATTAAAAGAAGTGGTATGATGATGTCATATATGTGCATCTTAGGATCTTAACTGATTTCCCTGCAGTTGTGTTTGGATGGCCAGGGGGAAGCTGGGAGGGGAGATGAGAAGCCGGGTGACTCCTGGTTTCGGTGCTGGAAGAACACCGAGTGGGATCCCTCCATCTGCCCTTTGACGGCTGTGACATCTTAGGCCCGTCACTGACTTCTCTCAGCACAGTCTCCTCACCTGTGAAACTGTCACACCTGAGCAACAACGACGAACACAGACCAGAAGCCAAATGTTCTTATTCCTACCCTAGTGTCCTTCCCACGGGACCTCTACTCTCTCACCAACCAACTTCCAAACCAAATCCCCTCGGATCTAAATCAAACTCAAACACCCCC